CTGACAAAACCCCAAATAGTGTATAATTGCCATGTATTTCATGATGTGTTTGTAAAATTCATGATTTGCATGTTTTGATTATCTTAAAGCCTATGAAGCTAAAAAATCCGGCGACGTAGTTGTGGTTTGTCTGTTTCACTCTATAATCCATCACAAGCCCATTCACCTTAGATTTTGATAGGTGTGCTGTTACTTTTTCTCCGTGTAATTTCAAATGCGGGCATAAACTACAGCCGGGCAAATGTTGATTTCTCTCTAGACTGTACAAGGATGGGACACTGGACAGTTTATAGTCTTACTACCCCGATGCACAGCGAACAATGCTAGCTTACCAGTCAGGCTCCTATGCATTATGTTTATTGCCAACGAGCAATTGATTTCTAAATTCATTGCTAGTCTTATTTTAACGAATCCAGTATAATAATTACTTCTTCTGCCAGCTCTTTCAGGGCACTTCATCAACTGTGATATGATCCATGTTTGGCAGTGCAGTCTCTAAAAACAAACATATTGTCGCTAGAAGGATACCTCATTTGAACTTCCTCCTTTACAATTAAAACATTATATCAAGCTTGTGGAGGATGCCGCAGCATGGTGATTGTGCAGTTACTGCATCAGAGTGTATCATCGGTAGAAAGATTTTCGATAATTCTTGGTATGATGCCCATCTTTGCTACCTTTATCTGAGATATATCTAATAGTTATGCCAAGTTTCGCCAAAGTTACGTTTCCTATTAGTTTTGCGTTCCAAATTTCTAACTTCAAAGTGGCGGGTACTATTTTGATTAGGATAGATCCGTAACTATAGCTTGGTTCTTTTTGAACTTAGGATAAACAGGTTTTTGATTCCTGTCCACGATCAAGGACTATCATCCTCGACATATGCGCTACTCTTCAGACGAGCTCTCTTCCTTCCACTTTTCTTTATCTACAAAAAATAAAGGAAAAAATCTTGCATTACCCTCTCCTCTCATAAAAGACTCATCCTGAAACTTTCCCTAGTAATGGCTTACAAAAAACTTTGCCATAAGAAGATCGGACAACGCTAGAAATTCTGTGTCTGATCAAGAGATTTAGAATCGACCTGTACACACTTCATTTAACCCCATCATGGCATCTTTAAATTTTCAAAATATGTAATTTACAGGCGAAGTAATAGGCGCCCAACTACGCGCGACATAATCTTTGCCAACAGCATGAATGCCCGAGCTTCTGCAACCTATCGTCTACGGATTAGCCCTGATATCAGGTGCAAGATACCTGAGCCTTTCGTGGCCTCTAGTTCTCATGTCACTGCGGTGTTCGAGCTCATTACATTGTGTCGAAGCGGTGAAGCCATTATGTACCTCCTTTCCTTGTGTACCGTAGTACTTGCGGAGCCGGGTGATGCTATGCCTCTGGTATTTTATACGGCATCTAGCAGCGTCATTCAGAATTGAAAGAGCATTGGTTCTTTGGCTTCTCGGTCGCATCTGTAGTTGTTGGTCAGCAAGGGACTAGGCTATAGGCGTCTTCAAGATGCTGGTAGATTGTTGAACTTTTGCTTTTACCTTCGAGAGCTTCTGGCGTGTGGCTCTGATCATGTTTCTGAGCTGTGATATGATTCAATATGCACTTGATTTATAGCATAATGGGTAAACATTTACTCTATGATTTGTATGTTGTATATTCTTTTATAGGGAAGAAGATTGCCTTGTTTTCTTTGTGGTTGTTTTCCACTTCACATGACCAATGAAGGCATCAACTTTTGTGCTGTGCTTGTACATTGTTGAGCTTGAACCAAATGCTTTCCAGCTGACCCTATTCGGGTGACGGAGGGCCAAAAATTTAATTGCCTAAAACACGATATTATAGGAGAAGTAGGAGGGGGGGGGGGGGGGGGGGCGCTCATGATTCATTACTATGCTAAAAGTTAGATCACAAGACTTTCAACATCGAACTTCAAATATTAGATATAATGTATAGAACAACTATTCTCTTGTGTCATTTCTTTGAAACTTTTTCCGCGACATCCTCTTTATTAATATTACAAAATATATGTATTCAATATAAGGGTGCCAACAATCATTTCATATATACTCATCTTAGTTCTATATTGAATAAGTCCATCTCAATAACCTTGATTCGCTCGAAATGCTTTTGACATTCTGTCATTGCAACGCCGTCAAGATTAATGCCACTTCACCAATCTATACACCAAAAGATTAAAACTATCCATTTTCGCCATTCAACCAAATTCTTAGGCATTCCAATGATTTCTAATTTTAGTCAGAAGAGTAGTTCTACAGGGATCAATTTTTAGTGGGACAGGGGCGAGGGGCATAGGTGCAGCCCCCCCCGCGCCCCCCCCCTTTTTTCCCTCTTGACTTCCGGCCATCCGTGGGGCCCAAGGCCCCTTGGCTTCCACCTGCGTCCGCCCCCTGCCTTATTTAATAATTTTCCTATGTTCACTGTTAAATGGTAAATGATTTCATCTTATATCACTTCTGCATTTATTAACAACAAATTTGTGTTAAATGATTGGCCAATTACATCTTTGCCCACGGGGAAGCAGGTATCTCAAGCACTAGTTATTTTGATTTAGATGCAGCATTCACCTCTTAAATTTGACAGTTTGGAGAATTGAGTTCTGGCTGATAATATGAATGCAGCTTGAAAAATCTTGCCATATTAAGCCTATGAACCCTCCTAGGAATTTTGGCATGAAATGGTGATTGTAACTGTGAAAAAAATTATCAAATATGTTTCCAGTGTGTCAGCCTAATGCTTATGAACATTTTGTGATTTCCATGGTTTTTATGCTAATCGCTTATCGATCGTGATACTAATCAATCTTACCCATCTAGATAATTTATACTCCATTTTGAGTTTCTGTGACAGTGCTAACTAGTTGTAGATGCTCTCTGTTACCTGATTAATCAAATATTAAGATAACAAGTAAAAGATAGGATTTACTCTCTTCCTTCTACGTTTATGCTGCAGAAATTGATCCATCTGCTACTGCTCGCGCACCGTCAAATGCTCAACCTGATGTTGATGACAGTCAGAGGCAATGGCAATGGAAACCGAAAAGATATTATTGGAATTTACGCTGATTGGATTGACAGAGTATGACAATCTTCAATATGGATTCGGATCCTCTTCATATCTAAAAAGTATTGGAGAGACCATTATATAATCACAACCATTGATTATCTTCAATAGCTTCTTTAGGCAAGACAAGTCTCCAACAAAATTCTTTGTACCATTTTTTGGTGACGTACACAACTAAATTCTATAATAATTAATTTAGAGTATGATTCTTATTTAATGTCCGACTATGCTTAGCATAGAAATAAATTAAAATATCATTTTTAGGCGAGCTTGACCGCCTTTCTCCAGTTGCTTGTTTGGTAGCGCGTGCGATTGCCTGCCAAGAGGTTCTGGGTTCGAAGAAAGGCAAAAGAGGGGGAGAGAAAAAGAAGAGAAAGAGGTATTCTAAAATACCTCCATTTTGCACTTATTTATTATTATTTTTCCTTCTCTTTTCCCCCACTTTGGTTGACTATAAAATACCTCATTTTGATATTTTTATTTTTCCTTTTTCCCACTCTTGATTTAAAACGTAATTATAGATAGGATTTAAATACCTCGTTTTGCACTTTTTTTATTTTTCCCTTTCTTTTTTACCTGTTTCAAATGATGGGGAAAAAGAGCAACTAACATTAAAAAAGCTGCAGCTGTTATTTAGACTCAATAAGATACTTCATAAAGTTTCACCCGGTGAGATTATAAGTCTTTATTTAATAAATGTAATATATCTATTTAAAAAGCTGCTGCGATCATTTTGTCTCAATAATAACTTACTTCATAAGTTTTGCGTGGTGTGAGTGCAAGACTTTATTTAATAAATAGTACATGTATTTTTCCTTAACAAAAATAATGCATGTATTGAATAACCAATTTATTTAAATAATTTAATACTATTAATGTATTTTCCTACTCTGGTCCTCCGCATTTATAAATAGTACATTCAACGAGAAAATCTGGCTTTTTTTAACAAAAAGAATACATGCATTGAGTAACAAATTTATTTAATTATTTAGATACTGTAAATGTATTTTATTATTCTGATCCTCCATGCACTTACAATAGTACATTCAATGAGAAATCTGATTTAAAAGTTAAAACAAAAATAATACATGTATGGAATAACTAATTTAATGTATTTTACTGATCCTCCATTTACTTATAATAGTACATTCAATGGGATATTTTTATTTTTAACTTAAAAATAAAGAACGTACTAAAGTACTGCAAAGCATCATCGTTTGGGTTCATTCTTTACAAATTCATAGTCAAATTTTTTCGCCATGGAATAGTACTGCAAAGCAAGT